TTATCTGTATAGTGATCCATCAATCATATTTTCGCTTTGTTGTCGTTTAAAAAAGGGCATACGAGAAGGATGTGATAAATTATTTTCTTATAAGATCCATATATTGCGAAACTTTACATGTGAATTTATTTTCACAGATATATATTTTAAAACGCATTAATATTCCTATTAGATTTGACGATATATAAAAATATGTAAAACATAATGTAGATAGTTTCAAAAGATTATTTCCAAGTTAACATTCAGTATTATCAGGCTAATTGATACTTTTTTTATTCTTCTATTATGTATAATAAATTTAAGTTTTTATTTTAAGAAAAAAATGTATTATTTTTTAACATAATTTGTCAAAATATCGATTATAAACTTTTAAGAAATTAACATATTTCACGTGCGACAATTTATATAATATTTTTTTAAAAAAAAAAAAAAAAGATTCGCACATATACAAATAAAAATCAAAATCATTTATAGTTTTATACTTTAATGATGTTTATACATCGTGTTGCAATAGCTTGGTGTTTAGTTCCTCTTTCACGTCAGTAGTATTCCGTATTATTATAGTATTCCGTATACGTGAACGTACGACAAGCTGACAGGTTGTGTAAACAGAATTTTTCCATTGTTACGCCGCTTGCATTTGCTTGTGAAAAAGGGTGCGTATATGGATCTTGTCTCGTAATTCCGGCCCACTTTAATATCTTTCTCTCTGTAACCGTGGAAACCAATATATCTTCTGTACCATGCGTTATGTCATCGTTGCCATCGTTTCCATTTCTCTTTAACAAAACCCTCGATTAGTAATTTCCAACGATAATTGTAATAGGTTTATACCGATACCTGTTACAAGTAATGTAATGAATTGTCGAGTTTCAAAATGTATGGAAAATGAGAATTAAAGATGGGGGAAAAAAAATTAATAAATTAAAATAGAATGAAATCATTCCTTCTTCAACCATATGAAAAAGATTTTTTTTTTTTACCGAAATAAAATGAATATAATATTTAACATTCACGGATTAAAAATATTATACAAATGTTAAAATTCCCCACAGTATAAATAATAAAAATAAAATTTTCGTGATAAATTATTTTTCGTTGAATTAAATTTTACAAAAGAGATTAATCTGAGATTCTAATGAATAATTTTTAAATCACTTCCACGGAAATCGTGATTATATTTATTCTCTTCGAAATATTTATCTGATGCAAACATCCGTATTTTACGTTCCGTGTATACCGCGCCAAAGAAAATAATAAATCATGTAAGATTATTGTCAAGTGTAGTGTTGTTGTAAATTACACTTCTAGAATAATTAGCAACCATGTTTCAATTAAATATTCATATTGCGTGAAGAGTCATAAAATGATGATTACAGTTCTGTATCTGCACTAGGGTTTGTTTCGATTATTTGCACAATAATTGCTACTGCTTTCAAAGTCAAGATGATTATCATAAAAACAATCAGAGAGAGAGAGAGAGAGAGAGAGAGAGAAGGAATAAAGAAAACACGATGACCGATTCACATATAATATGAATTATATTTATGATTCTGTTCCCATACACGAGTGGCGTACATCGTTACAATCGTGTTTATTCGTTAAACACAATAGTCTCAAATAATGGACTTAAATCGTGAAGGCCATTGCTGTACATACTATTCGACAAGATTTTTCATCGATCGACATTCATTATTTATTAACAATAGTTTCATCGCGTATCATAGAATGTTATCTAGTTGTTCGTAGTTTTGTCGCTAAGATACATTTTGAATTGCACGTATCGATACTAATATGAAGAGAATTTATAAATTATTATATAAATAAATAGTAGCACCCATACTTATAAATTCATTAATCCTTAGATCCCCAACTGAAATAATTCATATTGTCTTTTAAAATATTATCTTTTAAAAATTATCTTCTTATATTAAATATATTAAATATTACTCAACATTAAGAAATATTGGCTTAAATATTATGTAAATTATTTTAATATTGAAAAGTATTTAATAAAGTTTTTAAACATACTTTTGACACAATTGCTGGATTTTAGAAAAATCCGTAAAGCGTTATTTCCAAAACTTGGGATCCTAAAGATTAAAATTATATCATACAAAGCGAATGACGAGTATTTTGTATAAATATATATATTTATATTTTATATTTATATTCTATTTTCGTAACGAAAATCATGTATAAATTATAGAAATTCTATTTTCTCTTTCAATAGTACAATCAAAATGTAAAACATTACAAGTATTGAATCGAAATTATTTTGCTAATCTTTATATATTATATTTTTTTCGTTAATTATCATTTATATAAATACTGTTAGGAGCTCAATGCTGTTTACTTGTATTTATCCTCTTAATTATAGTAACAATAAAATTTATTCGTATTTAAATTGTAGCAAAAGTCTAATACATACGTGAAACAATATTATTAAATACTTGGAACGCTAAAACCTTACAAACAAAAATAAAATAACACGCTAACAAACAGTTCCTTTACACGAGATCATTCGTCAGTCGTTTATTGTTACACGCAAAACATTCTGTTGTTATATGTATTTACAATTCGATAGTTAAAAGATCTAATGTTCTTATTATTATTTGTACAAGTTCTTATATCAACAGATAAAAGTTATTATTATTTTGTACACAATTAGCGCACTGTACATTATTACGAACAGAAATTTTATCATCAAAAAAAAAAAATATTCATTCATTCCAATAAAATCAATTTAAAATATTGCAACAAATATACAAAATATGCATAAGAATGATATATAATAAATTATTAGTTATTTTATAAGCTTAAAAAAAATTTATTTTGAAAAAAATACCTTTCTCTCTTATTTTATAATCAGTTTCAAAATTATTCATATTGTTAGGATTTCATTTTTTTTTAAAACAATACTTGAAAAATAAATTGAAGAATTAAATATATAAATTATATGTATTTATATAAAATGTTATTAATTTACGTTACAGTACAGTGTTCAAATTGAGTATTTTACTACATACAATCAAAAAGTATATTTTTTTTTTCATGAATAACTTTATTATTTGAGAGAAAAATGCATAAATACATAATAAATAAAATTTTATAATATTCTATTTAGAATCACAATAAGAAATATCAATACGAATTCAATATATATTCAAAGTAATTTATATAATTTATCATTTAGTATAGTTTTAAATATTATAAAATATTTTTCTAAACATATTTCTTAATTTATTGAAAATATAAAGAATCTTTTTTATAAAATTCTTTGACTTGAATAATTGCTTTAGTTGTTTAATTTTAGCAAAACATAATACGAATTTTATAATATTTTTTATAATATCACTATTTGATACATTAAATATCAACAATCATAACATGTATTGCAATTATTATTAATTATTATATTCAATTACAATGAAATATACTATTTATATTAAATATAAATATAAATCACATTAACAGAAAAATCATTTAATCTAGAGTAACCAATTCTATTTGTACTATTAAAATATTGTGTATTTAAAGCACATTTAGAAAATTAAGATGTAAATATTCGTTGCTGTAATTAAGTTATTAAATATTAGGAACATAAATATATATCCTTAGGTATTTAATGAAATATACTTTGAAATTGACAAGATTACGAAAATTTTAATAATTTAATAATATTTTTTTGTTAATGTGAACAAAATTACAATTAAAATTTCTATAATAAATATTTAATTCGACAATGTTTCTTCTTAAATAAACTAAATAAAACAATTACATAAAACATATAGAATTTATTAATAACAAAGAATAAAAATATTAGTTTTAAATATGACAATATTAGGCCAATGTTAGACAGTATAGTAATCAAAAATCGACAAGATTTTTGATCTTTGGCTGGAATATCGTACTATTATTATAAAACTCAATATAATTCATTACACATAGTACTGTCATACTATTATGTATATATATATATATATATATATATATTTGATCTATTTTTTATAAAATTCTTTTAACCTTTTCACATCCACAAATATCTAGCGATACAATATGATTTATACGATATCTCAGATGAGATATATTGCGTATTTTTCTTTCAATTTTTATACGTTCAAGAGACAAATTTTATATATAAAAATTTGTTCTCAAAAATATCTAATGGTTTTTATTTAACACTAATCTTTTCGTTAAGTCAAAATTATTTAAAAGTTATTTGAAGATCATGATGGAGGGTCAAGGTCACTTGAAGATCATGATTAGAGAATTAAGATTATTTAAAAGTCATGGTGGAGAATCATTTAAAGATTATAAAGACCAAGATCACTTAAATAATGGAGATTCTGAATTTATAATGAGATTTTTTGCGTTCTAAAAAAAAAAAAAAAAAAAAAAAAAAAAAAAAAGACACGTGAAATATCTTATACATGATATAATATAAATTATATAAAGTCAAGAAATATTTCATTTGTGGATGCGAAAGGTTTAATAGCAAAAAAATTGAATATATTAAGCATAAATTTAAAAAAAATGTATTTGAAAAGATAAATCATTACTAACGACAAAAAAAGATCAAGAAAAATTACCGACATAAATGGTACATATATTATTTAAAAAAGTGCTCCCTCCTGCCTTTTAAAAACTTATTGTATATTTTTATTAAATCCTAAACGCAGCATACGCACAACGTGTAAAGAATTATGTATAGAATAATTATACAAGTAATTATCCCTGTTAACCATATCCGCAATTTACAAGACACCCATGGATATGCATACGTATAAACATACTATGACTATCATATAGATTTCACATCAATGTGAAAAATTTTTTTCGCGAGACACCAAATAATTTTGTATTGTACGAATTTTGAGTATTAATAGAATTCGAAATATTAATCGAGTACTAATAATTATTAACGATATAAAGGTTACTAAATCTTCGACATTATTTTTTTAATAATATCAAATCACTTGATATTGCGTCATACTAATAATCGTTACAAACAATAAGCTTCAATTTCAATAACATATTCATGTCAATATTCATGTATTTGCATACTTATGTGACTGGCTTTCAAGCGACCTCACCGAGTATGCACCAATATAGCGACGAAATAAACTGTGCGTAAAGTTTGAGATC